CCTAATTTAAATAAAACGATCCGCAGCTGAAGAGTGTAGGGAACTGAACTGTTGTCGCCTTACCCACAGAAAGTTGTAGGGAGATAAAACAAAGAATTACGGATCTGAAACGAAGTTGTAAGAAAGCCTACTAAGAACAATCTGAAATGGATAATGCAACATACCCAAGATCTTGACCCTCCGACAGTGCAGCACTCCCTTATCACTGACCTGCAACAGTGTGGCATTCCCTCAGCACTGACCCTCTGACAACGCACGCTCCCTCAGTACTGACCCTCTGACAGTATAGCACTTCCTCAGCACTGACCCTCTAAAACTGCCGCACTACCTCAATACAGACTGAAATAACTGCAGAAAGGCTGGGCTTCCATCACCATGACACCCTTTAATTACAGGTGAAAAGTCCTTGACATTGGTCCAGCTCCCTCAGAGCCATTTCCCAGGGTACCAGAATGTCTGATATTCTTCATTTTATCTGTCAGCCAGGGCTCTCTGATCAGACCAGATTAACAGCTCCAATTAGAGAACTTAGGAAACTCTACCGCCCAACAGCTCTGACTTCAATAATCATGAAATGCTTCCAGAGGCTGGTCATGGCCCACATCAACTCCAGTCTCCCAACCTGCCTCGATTCCTTAAAGTTTGCCTACCAATCTAACAGGTCCACAGAGGATGCCATATCCCTAGCCCTGCACTAGGAACATGTGGAACATGTGGACAACAGACACCTACATCAGACTCCTGCACGTTGACTACTGCTCTGACTTCAAAACCATTATCCCCTCCAGACTGATCTCAAAACTCCATGGTCTTGGTCCTGGCTCCACCCTCTGCAAGTGGATCATCAGCTTCCTGACCCATAGGCCGCAATCAGTGAGGATAGGTAACTGCACCTCCTCCACAATAAGCCTCAACACAAGAGTCCCTCAAGGATGTGTCCTCAGCCCCTACTGTACTCCCTGTACACCCACGACTATGCTGCCAAATTCCGAACAAATGCAATCTACAAGTTCACTGATGACAGCACAATAGTGGGACGGATATCTAATAATGACGAGTCAAAATACAGAAGGGAGCTAGAGGGCTTGGTGATGTGGTACAATGAAAACAATCTGTCAAAGTTGGCAAAACTAAAGAATGGATCATCGACTTCAGAAAGAAAGGAGGAGAACACACCCCCACCTACATCAATGGAACTGAGGCTGAAAAAGTGAAGAGCGTAAGTTCCCGGAGTAAAGATAACTGACGACCTGTCCTGGACTTCCCACATAAATGCAACAGTCAAGAAGGCACAACAAAGCCTCTTCTTCCTCAGGCATCTCAGGAAATTTGGCATGTCCATAAGGTCCCTCACCAACTTCTATACATGCACCATTGAAAACATACTGTCGGGTGCATAATGGCCTGGTACAGCAACTGCTCTGCCCAGGACCGTAAGAAACTACAGAAGCTGGTGTGCACAGCCCTGACCATCACAGAAGCCAACCTTCCATCCATGGACTCTATTTACATGGCTTGCTGCTGCAGAAAGGCTGCCAACATCATCAAAGACCCATCACACCCTGGTAATGACCTTCTACAATCTCTTCCATCAGGCAGAAGATACAGAAGCCTGAACACACGCACAAGCAGTTCTGGAACAACTTCTTTCTGGCCGTCATCAGACTGTTGAATGGACTCTAGCATCAAATAATGTAACCTGCAATGTAACCCGTATGCCTCTAAGTCTTTTTGATCTGTACATCCTTTGCTTGCTGTGATGTGCCTGTACCGCTCATAAACAAAGCTTTTCACTGTGTTTCAGTACACGTGACAATAAAATCAAAATCAAAATCAAACCATATTCTATTAGGTCCACCTGGCTGATCTCACTACAGTCACTGCACTGATGCTCCAACAGTGCAGTGCTCCCTGTATCAACTCACTAACAGTGCAGCACTCTCTCATGCAGACCCGCCGACAATGCATACTCCTTCAGTCCTGACCCTGTTACAGTGCAGTACTCCCTCAGTACTGACCCTTAGAAAATGTGGCACTCCCTCAGTATTGACCCTCCGACAGTGCAACACTGACCCTCCAACATGCTGCACTCCCTTAGTACTTACCCTCTGACAGTGCAGGGCTCCCTCAGTACTGACCCTCTGACAGTGTGGCTCTCCGTCAGTACTGACCCTCCGACAGTGCAGCATTCCTGCAGCACTGCCCCTCCAACAGTGCTGCACTCCCTCAGTATTGACCCTCTGACAGTGCAATGCTCCCTCAGTACTGACCCTCCAATAGTGCGGAATTCCTTCAGCACTGACCCTCTGACAGAATGGAACTCCCTCAGTGCTGATCCTGTGACAGTGCAGTGCTCCCTCAGCACTGACCCTCTGGCAGTGCAGACAGCGTATTCTCTCCAACATATCACAGATCTAAAGTGCTGACAAAGTTTCATAGGAATTGAAACAAGACTGTTCAAACTCAGTGGTTTGAGATTTAATCATCTTCCGCTGTAGCAACCCCGTCATCTAGGCTGTTGGCTTCACTGTGCCTAATTTATATTCCAGCCTTGTGACTCCACTAGTGTAAAATGATATCCAATCTCTTTATAGATTCACAGCTGTACTTACTTTCTTTTCTAAGACGGGTTTCACTCATCCTTGGTGCAGACATAAGAGGACCATGTCGATTGAGCTATGCAGACTTGGAGCACTTTGGCTGCCATCTGTGACCAAATACAGAATTGCAATGCTGGCATCACCAGCTCCAGTTGAAAGTGTAAGAGATAGTGAGATATCATGGTCAGAAAGGTATCAAAACTCCCTCATTGTTATTAAAACTTTTTTAACATGTTGTATACAGTAAACAGTTTAAGATTGAAATTTCTGAGCTATTTAGAGATGAATGAAAATCCATTCATCTCCAATATTTTGAACATAGAAAATAGGTGGCATAGGCCATTTGGCCCACTGAGCCGACTGTGCCATTCAACACAATCACAGCTGATCCTCTATTTAGTCATACTCTAGCTCTCTCCTCATACACCTTGACACCTTTAGCTAAAAAAAAACGATTAATCTCTTTCTTCAAAATATTCAATGCCTTCACCTCCACAGCCTTCTGTATTATGAAATCCCACAGCTTCACCACCCTCTGGGTGAAGAAACACCTCCTCATCTTGATCAAAAATAACTCATGTGTATGCTGACAGTGTGAATCTCAAACAAGAGAAACATCATCCCTGCATCTAGTCTGTGCAGCCCTGGTAGAATTTTATGCTGTACCATTTCATCCTTATAAACTCCAATAAATACAAGTCCAGTCAACCCAATCCCCCTTCAAATTTGTCATCCCAGAAATCAGTTTGGTGAACCTTCAGAGCGCTCCCTCTATGACAGGTATAACTTTTCTTTCTGTGCTGTAGACCATGATGACTCTATGACTCTTACGTAAGAAGACCAAATACCACCATTTTCTAATTAAAAACCAAAATAACTTCAAATACTGTAAATCAGAAACAAAAATAGAAATTGCTGGAAAAGCTCAGCAGGTCTGGCAGCATCTGTGAAAGAAATCAGAGTTAACGTTTCTGGTTGAGTGACCCTTCTTCAGAACCTTGAGTTTCCAAGATTCTTTTAACATTGTAAAACATTTCTAAACCAAATTTGAAACTATTTCCAGCAGGGCCATAATATACACCTTCTTCAGACCGGTTTTCAATGCCAGGATCATTTTAGGAGAGGCCTGCAGTGTATCCCAAAAAGGGGTGCAACATCATTGGGGCATTCTATGCCTTTCACAATTGGAGCCAACAAAGGCGGCGGGGGGGGGGGGGGGGGGGGGATGTTCTGAATGCAGATAAAATGGGGACTTGATTGCAATATTGATGATGAAGATGAATCAAAGAATTAGAACAATGACTAAGAGGGCTGGCTAAGCAAGCATGATACAGAAATGCATTGCAGAGCTCAAGAGGCCAGATGGAACTTATTGAATCTGCTCCCAGATGGCTGTACTGGGTTTGAACTATGTTCAATTATTTCAGATTTTATTGGTAATTTGGCAAGTAGCCTCTCCTTAGTGCAAAGGACATAAACATTTAAGAAATA